CTACATATTATTTCGTAAAAAAGGTACCATATTAATTAATAGAACAAAGAGCTATAGAAAAAATGAATTGCCTAGAAGCATGAAGGATCTGTTCCAAAATTTTACTTGGCAGGCAGTTGGCTGAATTGTATGCATCTGTGGGTAAGAGGAAAATGTTACAGCTCTGGGTAGATAATAGTGTGTCTAATGGCTTTCCTGTTAATTGGATTAACTCACGGGCTAGAAGTAGACCAGATCCTGCCAGGTAATAAACTCATTTCTAAGGGCAGAGCCATTCAGACAAAATTATTACATGATTTTATCAGGGCATTTAGTGGTAACCTAGGACCAAACAAAAGTGAATAATGCATCTCCAAATATCCATATTCGAGTAAAATATATAATACTTAGAAAACGATCTGACAAAAAGGGCATGGCCTGAAAATCAAGTCCACTGAGCTACCTTTCCAAATAAACCTGTCAATTCCAATTAAACACGTCTATTTAGTTAAGTCTCTTACCTGCTTTTTATTTCAATTTTCTTCAACCAAATAATTAGAATTAATTAGCTCATAATATTGAAAAGGTAAAATGGGACAATTTAATATTTATTTGTATTTTATTTCTGTAGAAATATATTAATACACTATATATTTAAATATATTCAATCTGATTACAGTGAAACCTTCACTAATGAACTCAATTTGTTTCACTAGGTTGTAACTCAAGTTGGTTGTAAGTCAAGGCTATTTTTTCCATAAGAAATAATGAAAATATCCACTATGCATTCTAGACCACTGAAAGCATTCCTTTACTAACTTCTTTGCAATAAAGGTTATATAATATATGTAATTTACCAGTAACACCAATAATTTTCCTAATATTTTTTCCAAAAAGTTACAGAATGTGCCTAGTTTACCAGAAACAACAATTCATACTATACTCATCATTCAAGTTGATGTTTTGGCTTGCAGGAAGGAAAGATGAAATGGAAGGTGGTTATTTTTGGAAGCAAAATTCCCTACCATTAGAACATCAAGAATTTGGCTCTCATGTCCTTTTTCTCCTTTGGAATATCTGTAGACCACGAGGATCTACTTCTGGCTCACTAGGCCTCTGCCTTTTCAGAATTAAAAGCTAATTTAAGGTTGTCTGTTTGTGTCTTTAACACTGTTCTGTTGTGCAGTGTTGCCATTAAGAAGGTGAACGCATGACTGGCTTTTTCTCCATCGGGGTGGGTCTTCTCTCCAAATGTTTGTAGTTCTGTTCCTTCTTTTCAGGGTTTCTGTTGTTTCAGAACTATGCTGCACTGATCGTCAAAACTCCCTCTCCTCTTCAGAAAGCTCCTCAGCTGCCACTCTATATTGTTTATCCAGGAGTCTCTGAGTGTTCCTCTAGCAGTTCCTCAACATCATCACTGTCTACCTGCCATCCTAAGGACTTGGCTACAGTGACGATGTCACCAACTACAAGGTCAATGGAAAGCTCAGGCTCCTCTATAACCTTCAAAATCTCTCTCCAGTAGTGTAATTTGAGCAACACATTTAGCAACACTAGCTTTCTTATACAAATCTTTTCTCTGTAAGATTGCTGAGATGGTGGATTTGGACATACTTTACATATTAGTGAGATTGGTCACACAAATGCCACTCTCATATTTCTCCACAATTTCCTTCTTTTCAATAGCAATTCTTTTTCTTTTTTTTTTCCCCTTCCTTTCATTAGTTTCTTTTCTAGTTTTTTGGGAGACATTTTGATAGCAGTCATTGTAGTGACTACATAAAGTACTGACCAAAATCACATCCATAATCACGTGCATCCAGGCTCAGCCTGACTCTTACACATGCTTACACATGCTTTCTGGCATTGTATTTGTATAAGTGGCCTCCATATGGGTGAAAGCTCAAGACTTTGGTTGTTAAGTTAAACCTAAAATTCCAGGTCATAACCCAAGTTGCTCATATGTAAAGATAGGAACTATGGCTTTTTTGTTCATAGTTGAATCACTGGAAAGCAAGAAAGACACTTAATAATTTTGAATGAATGAATGGACTGCTGATTCTGAATTCTACAGCTCTCTCCCCCTGCCCCTGCCTTACTTGTCACCATCTTTCACCACCTTTCGTCCTAGCGAATTCTGAGCTCTTGTGATTTTCTGAACATTTCAGCCTTTTTACACCTCTGTGATTTCTTTTATTTTCACTGTTTGAGATGTCCCTTTCACATTACCTATTTAGGAAATTCTTTTATAAGCTCAAACCTTGGCTTAATCACCACCTTGTCATGAGAGTATGCTGTAGATGTTCCTTCTCTCATGATTGCTTTCTCGGCACTTACCACATGAGACATAAAGCTGTTACATATCTATTTCCCTTGTGCACTATAGGTGCCTTGAAGTTAAGGGTTGTTATGTTCTGTTTGTGTTCCCACCAACTTTATATGTTGCAATTCCGAACCCTAAAGCGATAGAATTAGGAAATAGGGCTTTGTAGAGGTGACTGGGTCATGAAAGTGGAGTAATGATAAGTGAATTAGTACTCTTATAAATAGACTCAGGGAGCTTGTGCAATCTTAACTCTCTTTTCACTGGGTGAGAGGGCAGTGAAAAGTGCAGGCTATGAGCTGGGAGGCTACTCCTTATCAGACACACTCAATCAGCTGATGCCGTGATCCTGAACTTTCTTGGCCTCTACAGCAATAAAAATTTCTAGTTTTTCAAAGCCACCTATTTTATGGCATTTTGATAGCAACCCAACTGATTAAGACAGGAAACATTCATTATTTAAGTTTCTACTGTCATCTCTAGTGGAGTACTTGATATGTGATAAGTATTTGCTAAATGAATGAATGGCTGGATGAACAAAGGGTAGAAAGCAGATGGTATATTGGACATAACCAAGGGCATCTAAAACAATTATCTATGTGATTTTGAACAAGTTATTTAGAATCTACTTGTTTTTATTCATTTGGACAAATGTAACACTTAAATCAGATATATGTTGCACGAGTCAAGACTCTCCAGAGAAGCAGAACCAGTAGAATTCAATTAATAGGGAAATTTTAACCAACTGGCCTACAGAATTGCAAAACTTTTGTAAGTTCAATCTTGTGCCTTTGCATTTCAGAAATGTTTAACCTTGTTTCATTTGTACAGGGAGTTACAGTTAAGAGTTTGCCATAGATCTTGGAGGAGATTTGGGACTTGGACTGTTCAGCAATGCTGAAGCTGTTAGGACTTTGGCAACTCTTGGAGGTGGACTAAATGTCTTTTGTATAAAGGATGTATATGACTCCTGGGGGCCAGGGGTGGATTGTCATGGTTTATGTTTGTGTTCCCCAGGCCTCATGAGTTTGAATTTGTTATTCGTTCATTTGTTATTCGTTCATTGTATAGTGCTTAGATTAATGGTGTTGGTGCTACACCCACTTAGGGGTGGAGCCAGGATGTAATGTAATGGCAGGAAGAAGGTGTGTCTTGCTCTCTTTGCTGGTTCGAGTTTGTTGTCAGCGGCTGCCATGAACTGCGATCCAGCCATGCCCGCCTATCTTGGAGCCAACTGAGTGTGGACTGAAACCTCCAAAAACTGTAAGAAATAAACCTTTCCTCCCCCCTTTCCCCCAAAAAAAGTTCAACAGCGTAGGTCAACAGGCTGGAGACTCAGCAAAAATTAATGGTTCAGATCCAAAGTCAGTCCAGTGAGGAACCAGGAAGAGCCAGTGCTTCAGATGGGTTTGAAGGTGTGTTATGGGACAGTTCCTTCTTCTTTGAGGGAGGACAGTCTTTGTTCTAGTCAGGCCTTCAACTAATTGGATGAGAGCTACTCACACAGTGGAGGGTAGTTTGCTTCACTTCTACCAGTTTAAATGTAAATCTTGAATCAAATCATGCTTGCAGAAACATCTAGACTAACATCTTCATAAACTAATGGATTCTTGGTCCAGCCGAATTTATGCATAAAACTACCACACAGATAGAATATTCTACAGTGTATTAGGTTGTAGTTAGGAAATGCTCATTAAGAAGATTCTCTAATCTAATCCTGTGCCCCATGTGGGTGAGGTCTATGGGGCTGTGACTTTTGCTGAAAAGAATGTGATTTTTGTACCTCCTCTACTCTGAGTTTGTCTGCAGGCCACAAAGGCAAAATTGAGTGAGATTTTTTAATGAACAACATGGATGGAAAAAATCTTTTTAGTGAAAAGTAATGAATAAACACAGCAGAAAGAATTGTGCATGAAAAAGAAACATATAAAATCAAGAATCGTCACGGCCTTATTCGAGGCTTTGGTCACTCTTGTTTCCCCCAAATGGTTTGAAGAAAGGACTAAAGCATGTTTCCTCTCTTTCAGATAAAAGAATGCAACAGTCATATTTTCTCTTTTATTTCAACAAAGAGTCTCTACCTTGCAGTCAGTATCTTGAAGAGGACTCTGCTATATAATGGGAGGTCATTTGCAATATTCGCTTCCATAGGAAAGATGAGTCCAATGACGAACTCTTTTAGAACCTGGTAGGGATGATACATCATGATGGCATCCACGTAGCTCTGGAAAATTTCTTGTCTGGAAAACTGAAAGTCTTTGATAAATGCTACCACTTCCAAAAGTTACAATCCCATACCATCACCGTAGTGCAAAGGAAGGAAGTTTGTATGAGTCATGAATATCTCAGGCCTCTCCAACAAGTGATACTAAATGATGGCTATCTCCTAGAATTAGGATGGTATCTTCACACAAATGGATATTTCCTACCTGATTTTGCCCATTGACTATTACAGAAAACCTAGCTTCCTTCCCGTGGAAAATGCATTTTGGCAGAGTTGGATTCAATAGAGAAAAAAAATGTAAGAGTGACAGGAAACAAAACATTTGAAGAAATAGATTGTCATCACTTCTCATTAGCTTTGCACTAATATACATTTGAGTAGAATTCACTGTAGACCTAACCAAATCTGTTCTACCTCAAAATCTAAGTCACTGACATGAGGTTGTATTTGCAACAAAGGCGAAAAAAGACCATATTTAAAATGCTTTATTTTTATTTGATATTGTTAAATCACAAAAATTTTTCATAAATAGCATTTTTAGATCTTGCATTTATTATAGAAATATGCTACAGATTATTGTCTGATTTACTACTTCTGTATTCATATGAAAATATTCCATGAAGAGATACATGAATTTAATATAGTGCTATTGATTATGAAAATAGAGAAACAGAAAATATTTATCAATATCAGAAAAATATATTTATTCCATTATCTTTGATATTAAAAATAAACATTAAAATATAAAAGTAATCAAAGTGGTTTTGCACATGGGATATATTTTACCAATATTATATTTTTCATTCTTGAGTAATGAAGTATGTGACTCAGTAATGTATAATTTTGGCTTTGTTTGAATATTAATTGCTATAATCATGAAGGTTACTATTAAAAAGCAAAGAGCAGATTTGAGCACAGGAAAAGAGTGCCACTAGCCAGAGCTCCATCCTCATATCTTATTTCAATAAGAACATAATTTAAGCACTTAAAGAAGAATGTCATGTGGTTCACTGGTGAGCAGTTTGGACAGCTATCTCAGGCATGAGTGGTAAATAGTATTTAGTTGGTAAATATTTTGGTTTTTAGAATCTAGCACCCAAAAAGAAGCCATTTCAGTGAAGAGGACCTTCACATAGTTCTACAAATACTTTTCTAGCCTTTCTTTTCCTGACATATTAAATAATTATTTGATTTTCTTCATTCATACTTTGTGAAACTAATTACATTTTCTAGGAAACAGTATAAAAATTACAGGCAATTTTTAATTATAAGACGTTTCCTTGGAAACACTTTCTAGTAGGCCACGGTATACTTTGTTTCAAAATACTTAATTTCACTTACAATTAGAAATTAAAGATGGAGTACAACATTGGGCAATTTGGAAATTGTCACACTAATTGCCATGAAAAAGTTAATTTTTCACAACAGACAGTGAACATCCAATTAACTACTCCATAGTAATTTAACAGCCATCCTCAGAAAAAAAAAATTATTTCATTTCCTGACCAATAATTGGTCACTGCCACTATGCATGTTTTAAATTTAGAAATTTATTTAGAAATTATACATATTTTTAATTCGGAAAGAACTCAACAAGCACGATTTTAAAAGATCAGCATATGTAGGTGACATCAAAGTTCACAGCAACTGTCTTGCAAATCACCTTAACACACTGGCTTCACAGCTAAGGGTAAGCCTCTCTTTGGTTCATAAGGTGTTGTCCTGGAAACCATTTTGATGCAGTCGATAATAGGGCAGACACTGAGACAGAGAGTACAACCTGTACACATGTCAGTAATGGTGGGCAGGTGGGTTTCTGGATCAAACTGGATAGCCTGTGAAGAGAAATAGGGAGTGTTAATGCCCCCGTCCACCAAGGTCAGGAATGCCCCCATTTCAGCATCAACATTTTTCTTACTGCAATGGAACTGTACTCTGAGACAATTACGTCCAGCATGTTAGTGAAACTATAGCAACGGCTGAACTGGTGGGAGAAAAAAAAAAAATGAGACCAGCGAGAGAGAAACAAAATCCCTTTAAATTAAAAACAATGTTTAACATTCCTTAGAGGCATCTCCCTTCATTGTATGAGGAAAGGTTTCATAACACAGTAGCTCTCCAGTGTTCTTTGTTCTGCACAGAGCTCAGCTCCAGCAGGTCCTAGCAGACAGGGTTCTCTATTTGAAGACCTTGGGGTGGTGTCACACATTCTCCTTTTCCTTCTCACATTTTTTATGAAAAAGTGTTATTTTCGGGTAGGTCAATGAACACATCTGATTGGATACTGGATAATGTATGCAGTTTATAGAAGCAAACAGTTGACAAAAAGTGGTTTAAATGCCACTTTGAGTTTTGAGGACTTCCTAGCCAGTTCTAGGCATTGAATCATCATGACAGGGACAAAGCACTAAATAGTGCTGGTATCCAGTTCCAGCCCTGACACTCTGTAGCCTTGAGAACCAGAGCAAGGCCACTAGCGAAAGGCCACCAGCCGTGAAGCTGCAAAAGAATTTGAGAAATGTGTAACTTCCTTCCAGTCTGCCTGCCTACCTTCCTTCCTCCCACTTAACGCAATGTAGAATAATCAGTAACAATATCTAGTGTGAAATGAAGTTTTTTAAAAATAAAACTTATAATGATTATGTGTGTGTTAGAAACATTTTAATGCTGGAACTAACACACAAGTTGTCAGCGGATGATACAGACTTTTCTACCCAGAAAGCACTTCGGGGGCAGCTATGTGGAGACATGTGGTGGAAGCAGAGGGTACACAGCAAGCTCATGCTCACTTTCATCAAAAACACTGTCCTTCCACTGAGAATCTGGAGAGATTAGGAGGCAGCTGAGGGAAACTAAGAGGGAGAGTAAATATTTCAGTCTATTTTCTCCTTGAGGTCAAGTCTGAAAAATCTTACATTTTTCAAATAATTTTGTGACTTATTTTTTCCCATTTCATACTTGTGTTAAATTCAATTGAATATATACAGTCATTTCTGGGTACCCATTGCTAATTAACTGCAGGACCTTATATGCATACCAGGATCCATGAATATTCAATTCTGTTACGTCAAATGACATAGTATTTGTATTTTGTTTATGTATATCATTCCCAAATCATCTTTAGAGCATTTACAGTAACTAATTCAAAGAAAATGCTATGTATATAGTTGTTATATTGTATTTCTAAGGAATAATGACAAGAAAAATTCTGTTTGGGTTTTTTCCTGAAGATTCAAGGATGGCTGAATCCATGGATGGGAAACTTGAGGATATAGAGAGCTGAATGCATGCATTTGGTTGTTTTTCTTGTTTAAAACATTCTCAGTCAAACATGGTTACATGTAATCATAACTATTTTCTACTTTTATGAGAATAAAAGAGAAAATGGTCTTTTCATAGTAAATTAGGATAGGCTGCTTAATGTACATTTGTTTGATTTTTAAGAAACAATCATATTTGAACAAGAATTGTAGCTACAACAAAGTATAAAATAATTTGTCCACAAGAATTTCTGATATGTTTGTTAAAACATTTTGATTGCTGATTAGATGAATAAAAAGGATTTCTTTTTCTACATCTTTATTTATAAGAAGCAATTCAATGAAATTATTGACAAATTGAAGATACTTATGCTTAGAAATGCTATACTTTGAAGATATGTAAACAAACAAATTTTAAGTTCAACTGAAGATTTTTACTGTTTATTTTTCACTATGAGGCTGAAGAGTCAAAGGACTTTCCTAATGTTTTCTATTGCACAATTATGATTTTCTTCAGTAAAAGGAACTGTACTGCCTGTGTTGTACTAATGTTAGAATCTTAGGATGGGAGCTCTAACTTCTAAGATGTGAATTATAACATTAAAACCCTAACACTGTCATAGTCGTAGGATTTCACTTTTTAAAAGGACATTTTGTTACTTAGGTAGAAAATTTCATTTATAATTTCTTGAAAAAATCTTATATTTGGTTTTATACTTCTTTATAGTTTCACATTTTCCATAAAACAACACTGTTGTATAGTTTTTAAGCAATTTTTAGTAGTTTAAGTTTTAAAATTTACTTTTTCTTAAAGTCTGTATTTTAGAAATTATTGTTTACTTTCTCACCAAATCAAGACTTTGAGGAAAAATTTATATTTAAAGGCAATGCTATGAGCTTTTAAAAAATTATTTCTAGAATTCAACTAGTTCAAGGCCATAGTTGCACTGACTCCACTAAAAGAGTAGTTGACACATACAGCATAATGAATACGTGAAGAAACGCAAATCCATGAAAGTTCGTAGGACATGTTTGCAGGAGGACTGCCCATCCGAAAGGAGGGGCTTGCTCCTGTTTTCTATCCCATGTCAGACTTTCAGCTGAGGAGTGATGATCTGGAAAGTACGTAGGACTCACGTCATGTGGCAATAATATATTTCATTCGCTTTTCCAGCTATGAAGGCATTCCTGAGACATAATTCACAACCAGTTGGTAGGAAAGTGCTTTTCATTCCTTACTACAGTAAAACCCAAATTAATACAAAAAGAGAATTCTCTCTAGGCTGCGGAATCAAGTACTTTCAGAATAATAGCAATAAATGGGAGTTCCTTTCCTTTCCCTAGGTACTACACATAATACTTTCCTAATGTCCATAATTTTATGTGACTATCTCCTTTCCCTAGGGCTTGCCCCAATTTTATGAGTAATGAAATGATATTAAAGTAATACTATGCACCTAATAATGGAACAGTGAGTGTAAGTTATGACTTCCCTTAGAAAAAAAATCTGTACTTCAAAGGTGAAAGAACAGAAAGATGTACTTCTGAGAAAAAGCAATATTTGTCACATCTGGTTTGAATCACATAATTAGCAACAGAAGATATTTGCTGCCATCAAAATGAGAAGAAAGCTGCTTTAATACATCGTAATTTCAGCAAGAGTTTTTACCTGATAGCCAGAGTCATTGCAGGTCATATAGCATTTACCACAGTTGATACACATCTCTTCATCAATCGTAGCCACGACTTGCTCTATGGTGCTCAAGTCACCAAATGCTCCAAGGTACTTCAGTGCTTTTCCAATTACATCCTAATAGACAAGCATTGAATTATTCCCAGTGGTTATTTTAAAACATTTCCATCTGATAATTTCCTTCTATGAGTATGATTAGAAAATATGGTTTAAACTAAAGAAAATTTATTACCCTAAATGCCACAGAAGTCTAGTTCCTCTTTAAAACATTGTCTCTTGCTGTCATGGCTACCTTAAAATCCTTAATTGATTCAAAATATTTATCTTTCATGTTTTAACTTTGAGTGGAGCCAGAAGTTACACAGTGTCAGTTCTGTAAAGGCAGTGGACGACGACCACCATGTTTTCACCAGCCTGCCTTTCTACTGGACAGTATGTAAAGCAGCATTCACCATAATTTTGATCATATCTTATAAAGACAGTCCTAAAAAAGGACTCCAAGAACTGCTTCAGACAGTGTCAAGAATGGATAAGTATGTTCAAAGTGAGGGGAAAAAGTTTTCACTGAGATTAATGTCTTTTACTGTAATAATTTTTTGAAAAATTTAAACATTTGCTATCAATCTTCATCATTCTTTGTATATAATGCTGAATTGTGCTAACATAGGAGACTTGGGGTATTATATTTTCATATATAAGCTTTCTATAATAATCATAGCCTAAGTATTTCTGAAATGGGGCAATATGTATGCTTAACTTAAAAATAAGACATAATTAACTTTTTGAGAAGTTTTTCTACCAGATGACCAAGAAAGGAGTTTCCAGGGACAGAAATAAACATGTAATTTCAGTTGCAGCACCTTACTTTTTAACCTTGAACGTTCTAAAAGGAAGGTAAAATGATAAAATGTTATGCACACACATTAGACAGCAAATGATTAGGGAATAATATGTATATTATGCATTTATATCAATACATTTGGACCATAAATTTTCATTCAGAAATATGCTTTGATATCACTCACTTATCTTGTCTTTAAGAATGTATTTCAATATTAAAATATTCTAATTTATGTTAATTAACCCATCAATCCAGTAGTTAAATCAGATAGATGTTCTTTCACTTTTAAAGAATTGGAATTTTCTTCCTTCACCACTCAAGATCTCTCAGGCAGTTGCACATCCCTTTGTTTTTCATATTAATTGGAAGTAAGCTGAATACGTAAAGTGCAGAGAATGTTTCATCAACAATATGAAACATTTTGTTTCAAGAAACAAAATGAAAGCATCTAACAATGTTTGCCAAATTAGTATGCTGTCAAGATTCTCTGCTTTTAAGTTTTGAAATGAGAATCTGTTGTTTGAATTCAAGGTCCATATTCCAAGAGGAATGACTCTCATTTAAGGCCATCTTTTTATATTCTCTTTGGTATTTTGTTTTCTGTATGTCTTTTCTATGACCTTGGTTAACCATCTTTACTTTTTTCCTACTTGAGTTCTACATGACAGCATGCTCCTTACCATGAGTTTTTAAACTGAGATAGAGTTCACATTATTTATACAGTTCATTTGTATACTCTCATGCTAAAGATAGGTAACTTCCAGCACTCTTTCCTATACTTTCTTTTCAACACATTGAAGTGATAATTTCAACTGTTTATTGATGGGCACTTCATGTCCAAATCAATTATCTCTGTTCTGAGTTGCTCTCAGAAGCTCAAAGTCCACATTCATCAGCTACATGATGAGTACTGTCACTGGAAATTGGTACTGCAAAATTCTCAGTTCATTGAACTCATTAAGAACACAAATTTGGATTTTCTTTCATATTTCTTCAAGTTTGTGATTAGAATTAAGATTTTTTTTTCCAATCAGGAGTCTTAAAATTTTAGAGTTTGGTTTCACTGCAATTTCTCCTTGCTCCATATCTTATCCGTGTTTACACCTTTTGAGTTCTGGACCTGCAATATCTTTTGAATTCTCTTTGTATGTCTACCATCATCTTCAAAAAATGTTCATTAACTTTTAATTATTTTCCATGTCTTTGTAAGATGCTATGTGAGCAAGTTTTATTTTCATATGCTTTTGTTTTCTGTTCTACCTTAAAGAATGGTGCCATCTTAATCAAGGTTATAAATTTCTCAAATCCTTACTGAAAATTTGTTGAATCAAGTACGTGGACTTTCCATGTTGACATCTTAGGTTTCCTGCCAAGATGTCTTTTATTTATCTCTTTTTTACTTCCAAATACTATGCATTTCATTTACCATTAGATATACTTTTCCAGTAACCCATCTGAAGGTGACCTGATCCATCCAATTTTATGCTTAAATCCTCTCTCTAAAATATCCTTTTCTCCCAATTCTGCTTAGAAAAATCTTATCTTTCAAAAATATATCAAAGGTCACCAATTCATGATGTTTTCCTCAATCCTTCCTTCTTTTCTAACTAAATATTAAGATCTTCCTTCCTCTCTCCTCTCCTCTTCTGTACCTTCCTACCCCTCCCCTCCTTTCTTACTCCTCTCCTCTCTTCCTTCTCTTCCTCCTTCTCCTTCTCTCTCTCTCCTTCTTTCCCACCTCTTTATTTCCTGATGGATTATATTTTAGCTATTATATGAAATTAATCATTGATAACTTCTGAAATATTACTATTTTATAGATCAACACATAATTTTTTCCTGAAACCTCACTCATTTTATGGATGATGTGGTGACTTCACTATAACATATAAAATCAGGTAAGTGATCAAGCAAGGATTCAGACCAATGACGCTTGTTTTAAATACCATGATAAGAAGAACATTGATATGCTGACTAATTTCTTATTCTCAATTTCGAATGTTCTGCTTCATGTTATAGATATTGCCCACATCTAGTTCCTTTGTGTTGTATTTTTAGTAGACATTATTTGCCTTTGTATCATGTAGTATTTTCTTGTCCCTGTAGATCACTCAAACATTGGGGCACTCAAAAAATTAGGTGAAGTAAATGTGTCTCTTGTATATCTATTCATTAAATGTAATAATAGTAGGAACATAGATAGGATAAGAAATATTTTACTGAACATTTTTACTAATGTGAACATTTTACATGCAAAGACTAGTCAAGCAATCTGGATATTTTAATATTTTTGTACTATTTTAAGATATCAAATAAATGAGGCAAATATATGACTGAAAGATTATGTATGCTAGAACGTAATTTTTCAATCTAGTAAAGCACTCAAGGCAATTGTTTTACTGAATCAGATTGTTATGACTGAAATCACCAATAAATATTAAAAGTCACTAATTAGGGTCCTCTTTAGACAGGTATTTAATTTATAGAGCTTTTGCAAATGAATATATATGTGTAAGAAATTTTATTGTAAGAAACAAGTCCATGTTTTGCATAGATTAAACATGCCCTTTACTTGATATTAGAGATTTCTTGTTACTTAAATACACTATTGTTTAATGTGAAACCACATTTTATTCTTTTTAAAATAAAGGTCTTTGGAGTCTTTAGAAGTTATTAGCATATGGCATTAAAAATTCATTCCTCATTTGCCATGGTTCTTTAGGACAACTGTATTTTTTTTTTTGATTTTGAGGACATAAAAGAATAACAAAGTATTTTAAACCATTTTGATAAAGGCTATCAAAGAAAATGAATTACCACTCTATGTGGTTGAAGATGTGGACATTTGCTTAAAAATCAAAGCCTGCTGATATACTGTCAGCTTAGAATACCTCTGAGTACACGTCTTCAAATTTGGATTTTGCTGAAAGATGCATGTAATCAGTAAAGGACATATGGCTGTCTAGTCCCTCTTGGATAGTTATCTGCAGAAATTAGGGAACCTGCAGCCGTTATTCCACACAGGGTATGGATATACAAAGGTTGAGCAATCTGTTTCAGTCATCCTTGATTACTGGAAATGTTTATGCCTAGATGTATGTGCAGAGAATGTGATGCCAAATCCTTTAAATTAGTGAGATGACACATTCGATTTTAATGTTTGTGTTCACAGAGGTAGATTTACAAAGGATTACAGAATCCCACAATCATATATTTATCAATTATTTGTTCAGGATGATCAAAAGTTGTTTTTAAAAAAGATATATCAGTCAATATTTCTGTTTGATACAAAGTTTAAGACCAATGAAGAGATAGAGGGATTTGACCCCATCTCTGATGTTTTATACTTCCTTCATCATGATTAATATAAACTTATCAATTTTTGACCCATCATTTTTTATAGATGATTGAAGTGTTTTCGAACTACAGTTGTTATCTAGCATGTTAACTGTTCTTTCTAGCTGCAAATATTCACATTTAAGTAGGATACTTTTTACAATTCTGGTAAGTAGGTGCACTTCAAGGACCAAGGACAATGTCCTGTGGGCAGTCCCTAGCCTTCTAATTAAAATAATTCACTATTTAAATTATTTGGAAGTAGCTGTTTAATCACTTAGCTATCTCCTTATCTGTACCATTAGCATTGTCACATTTTCTTATCTTTTTACTCCATTTTTACTCCTTGCCTAATAAACCTATCAAAACAGGAAATGAGATCATTTGGTTTGCCCTCATTGCATTTATGCTGATTCTAATAACTTCTCCCTTATTAATGCTCCCAAGTCAAAAGTTTAATGATCTTTGTACAGTTCCACAGGGGTTAGGTCTCAATCTTTTTGGTCAATTTCTCTTTTTTCTCTAATACATAAGAAAACCCTTCCATATTCACTTTTTCTTTTTTTTAAGAACCTAGAGCAATGTTTATTTTTCAGCAGTGTGGTATAGAAATCTCATACATGAGTGCTTTTCAAAATACAGGATGATTTTATTCTTTATGTTCCCCATTTAATGCTCTCCACTATAAGAGGTAGGGAGGTAACTATACACTTAGAAAACAGAGTGTTTAGCTCGGATTCAGTAGATATCTGGTGAGGACACTGTTAAATACGCTGAAAAGGGAGGGCAGAGACAAATTATGATCCAGAAAATTAAGTAGTAGATTGGTCAGAAAGTGTCAGAGAAACAAGTAGACAAAGAGATAGGAGAAAAGCAAGTAAAAGTGGTGAGAGAGGGTAAGGTGTGAGGGAGAATTTAGTGTGAGACAGATAGGTGAACC